GGCCCGGCCCAACAAGGTCTCATTTATCTCGGGTCCGGCCCTCGTAACAAATGTGTTCGACACCCCAGCTGTAAAGCCTTCCAGTGCGATGCCTGCATCGTGGGTCTTGGCACAGCTACTGCAAGTTCACCTGTAGGAAGAGGATGTTTCACTGGAATGGACTGGATTTGACCCCTGCTGGTCTACAATGGCAAGGAGAGATTCCTGGATAACTTCCACCTTTGGTTCATCGAATTGCTGCAGGGACTTGGGTATAAACCCGTTATGCAAGCGCACTCTTATGTGCAAAGGAGTTACTCCAAGAGTTGCACAGAATCAGCTGTCTGTTATGCTTCTGGCAGCAACCAATGAAATTTACCCTGCAACAGAGCCTAGGAGACCTGAGTCCTTGGTGTTACTTTAGTAATATTAATTATGCCGGATTAGTGTTAATTACTTCAAGCGTACTTTAAATGTTTTTCTTCCTTAAAGGGGGGGCAATACGGAGAGACTTGCTGCTTGAATCTTAAAGCACAATGGCGACATGAGCTATTTGGAGGATTTGGGTATCAAGTGTCCTAATCTCTACTCTGAACTCTTAATCCGAATTTCTCCAGTAATGACCCTAAACTTAAATTTGACTTTATCCTAATTAAACACAGTTGAGTCTATTTTAGACTCAAACGTAGAAAAAGTTAATCCCTTCTGTGTTTGCTAATTCTCTTACAACATTCACTGAACACCTGCCATGGGGTTACATTTGTGTTAATTTACCATTAGGGAATCCAGGAGCTTGATTTCCAAATTATTCTCCTATAGCAGCTATTGTTAATTCCCAGCTTTTATGATGAAAAGACGTTTTTGCCCATGTAGTCCAAGGCCGGTCCCAAATTGAACAGATCTCCGAGGGCCCCCAAACCTGTTTATCATCGCCTCACCAGGATAACAAAACCAGGGAGGAAGGCTGAGGTGGGCTAGGCCTTCTGGCAGCTTGCCTTGGTATTGGCAGGACAAAAAAAAATCTACAAATTTGGGTAAGGCGGAGGGCCCTTAAACTTTTGTAAGTGAAAGAACAAAGTATGAGGTCCAGTAGCACATTTAAGATCAACAAAGTTTGATTCTTCTACAGAACAAAGTATGAGGTCCAGTGGCACCTTTAAGATCAACAAAGTTTGATTCTTCTACCCAGAATTAAACTCTGTTGGTCTTAAAGGTGCCACTGGACTCAAACTTTGTTCTGTTGCTTTGGACCAACATGGCTATCCACCTGAATCTATTCTGGAAGTAATGTTAATCATCCATTCAAACAGGCTGCTGTAAGGGGAAAAACCAATCATTCTATCCAAGTGTGAAAATGGTATCATTAAACAGCAAGTTCTGTGATTGAGTGGCAGAACACAATATGTGACTGCACAAAATCCTGGGTTCAACCCCTGGCATTTACAGTAGAAAAAGAAAAAGGAAATGGGGGGGAAGGTTCACAAGTAGCACATGTTAGGAAAGCCCGGTCTCTCCATGAAATCTGGGAGTGCCGCTGACAGGCTGTGTGGACAATGCTACTTTAGATGGACCAAACGTTTTATTCTGCATAAGGCTTCATGGGATTCATATTTTTGCCAGCCACACAGCTTACTCCACTTTATTAGATAAGATATTCTAGGACATTATCACTAGTTCCTGAAATCTGGGAAAGAGCTAAACTACTTCTGTTTATCATTGCACATTATTAGTCAAAGTCTGCAGGAGTTGTATTTTCTTCCACAGCCAACGTCACCAAAATTCTGTACACGCCACAGCCATAACTGGAGATCTCGGTTACTGCCCTAGAAAGTATGCGGCCATGTTCTGCACATGTATCTAGTTGGGTTGTGTGTACACACATATACACTTCTCCTTCTGAGAGCCAGTTTGGTGTAGTGGTTAAGTGTGCGGACTCTAATCTGGGAGAACCGGGTTTGATTCCCCACTCCTCCACATGCAGCTGCTGGATGACCTTGGGCAAGCCATAGTTTTGTCAGAGCTGCCCTTGAAAGGGAAGTTCTTGAAAGAGCTCTCTCATCCCCGCCTACCTCACAGGGTGTCTGTTGTAGGGAGGGGAAGGGAAAGGAGTCTGTAAGCCGTTCTGAGACTCCGAGTGAAGGGCAGGGTATAAATCCAATCTCTTCTTCTTCAGAAGTTGTTCTGGCAAAACCCCTCGAGCTACTCTTTAAAACGTTAGATCGAAATTACTCGGGGTATTTGGCACAGAAGTTTAGAGGAAAACTGGAGAAAGAGATACCAGGTATGCACTATAACCAGTGTTCCCTCTAAGCTGTGTGCGTGAGCGGCTGCTCATTACCACAGGAAGCCCCGCTCAGCAGCAGTCTGGAGCCGCACAGGGTCTTGCACTGCCCATGGCCCATATTAAGATTACAGTAGTAATATTCTGCTCAGGGTGTGAACTGCTCCTCTTAGTAAGAGAAAAAAAATTAGAGGGAACATTGAGTGTAGTCCAGAACATCCATAATTGGGCAGCTGACTAGTTGCCTGTGGTGAGTAAGATCAGGCATGACCCTCATCAGAGCAGAAAGAAGACTCAATCAATCCACTAGTGGTCGGAGGGAACGGCAATGTCCTGCGGCTTTGCTCTCTGTTACCTGCAATAGGCAAACTATGGTTGGGTCAACTGGGACTGCCACAAAACCATGGCCTGCGAACCAGGGAGAAAAGTAATTTAAAATCTGTTACTGGTACTGCCTGTCTCAGAGGAGCTTTTTTTCTTAACAATGTTATTAATTTTATTAACATTAACAACAATGTATATCAATAACAGTGATGAAGAGTGAAGTCTTAAATTAACAACAGCAACCACCACCATAGTTCCATACATCTCAATCAGTACAACAAATCTAACATAATACAGAGTATAACAAGAAACAGTGTCCATCCAACCCTATAAACTATAATTTCATAAATTCATAACTATCATGCGATATAAATGAATTTCTACCGTCTGGGTTACAATCTAGTCTTTCTGACACCGGCCAACATTTGCTAAGGAAATCTTGGTATGCTGCATGAGGGTCGGGTTGTTGGATACCTGATGAAATTTTATCCATTATAAAGTGTTCCCGCACTTCGGCATACCATTGGTCAATGAGTGGGGGTCCGGCCTCTTTCCATTTGGATGCTATCATTGTTTTAGCTGCCACTAGGAGTACAGAAATCAGTGCTTTCCTAGAGGGTAGTGTGTTAACGTCTTGCCAATAAAATTATCTCTGGTTTTTCTGGTATTGAGATGCCGGTGAGAGACTTTATTTGGTTCAGTACTTGTTTCCATAATTTCCTTACTACAGCACATTCCCACCAGCAGTGTATATAGGTACCCTGCTCACCACGATTTTCCCAACAATAAAAAGAGTAACTTTTATGTATATGATGAAGTTGTGTGGGAGTTTGAAGCAGAAGATGGGAGATACGACTTCATCCACTTCCTTACTGGGATACTGTACCAGCCCATACCCAACTTGCTTTCACCCCTGCTGCAAACCCACTCCTAGCCCCGGTTTGTAGGCAATTCCTGGTTCAGCCTAATCCTTGTTTTCCCAATTCAGACATTACAGTGAGTTACAACTAGAGCCAATCAAGAACAGGGAGGAGAAGGGGGCTCAAAGATCCACGCCATGCTTAGAGCTGGGGTTCCCCAATGTGGTGCTTGTGACCACCTGACTGCCCACCAACACCTTTTCTGGCACCCACCAGGTGGGGCTTTCCCCCAGCAAGGCTGTGCAGATTTTTAAAAACGTTGCTTTGGCAACAGCTACCACAGCACATGGATCTATCTTCACCGTGTGACTGAAAAAGCAAGCTGTGACCAGTGTTCCCTCTAAGCTGAGTTAGTGTGAGCTAGCTCACAGTTTTTTAGCCTCTGACTCACACATTTTTGTCTTCGCTCAGGAAGGATGGCTCCAGAGCAAACTAATTTATGCCGTAGCCAAATTGCTCGCTCAAAACTTTAATGCCAGTAGCTCACAAAGTAGAATTTTTGCTCACAAGACTCCACAGTTTAGAGGGAGCATTGGCTGTGACAGCCAATTCTGTGGCTGGATCCATTTCCTGCAGCGGTCATTTTCTGATAGCCATCCTGTGGCTGCGCCCACCGCACTGTCTCAGAATTCCAAAGGTGCCCGCAGGCTCCAAAGGTTGGAGACTCTTGTCTTGGTGATGGGGCTACATATGTAATGTCTTTATGGGACCAAAGACATTTTATCCATAATGTATGTTATCTTAGAAATGCAGTCACCTCCCTAAGTTTCCAGACAATGCCGACGGCGTTGCTCATGGGAAGATATTCTCAAACACCAATGGCTCTACATGTTCGTATATGTGGTGCTTTAGTTCCAGAGGACATATTTCATTATCTGCTATTCTGTCCTATGTATACAGAAGTCAGAATTAAATTTCTTGACAATCTGTTAATGGGACAAAGCTTTGCCTCTGACTTGGATAAACCGGTCTTTTTATTATCTGATACCGATCCATCTGTTACCTATAGAGTCTCACTTTTTGCCTTGGCTGCAAGGAAAATTAGGGCTAAGACCGCTGCTTCAGTAGATGAATCTGATGAATAACCGGATATATCTTCAGGGTTCATAATTTTATTGTATACTGATATTTGTAATTAATTAACTGCATTTTGCTTTTAATAATTTTTAAAACCATTCCTGTAATTATGATTGACTTTTTAACCGCTATATTCTTAATTCCCTTTTGCGACGGCCTTTGGCCACATGCAATAAATATGTCTGTCTGTCTGTCATAATGTATGTTTGCCAAGCAATTAGTAACAAGATAACCCCAGAAGCCTTTGAGAGTAATCATATTAATGCAAAAGAGAAAAGGAGAAGCACTTTATCTTTTAGACTTAGCAGCATTTCCCCTGGGGGAAAAAAAAGTTCCGTGTGGAAATAAGCAGAAGTCATAGATGTACACAGCTTCAATGGGAGCATTTGTTCTCAACTCCAAAACAAACAGAAGCTCACCTTCTGAAGCCCGCCATTCTCTTCCACCAGTGGAGGAAGGACGCTGATGCTGTTGGGAGATGGCGACTCGACATTGTAGTCCCGAAAGCAGCAGAACAAAGTGCTAAAGATACTTCGACTCCTCTGCTTCTTCAAACTGAGATTACATTGAGACACTATAAAGAAAAAAAAGCAACGTTTGGGTTAGGTGAAAGTGCTCATTAGTCTAACAACCAAGTTATTTATTTATGTTCTTTATCGCCTGCCATTTCTCTCTGGGACTCAAGGCAGATTACACACAATCAATAAAATCAACAGGACGGGGCATTCAATAAACAATGAAATAGGATTTGGGTTGTGGAACCAACCGGAAACATAAAAACAGAACTGAAGCAAAGCAAATTGTTAGCGTGACATTAAGTTAAGATAAATTACAGAGCAGGATCCAGCCGACAGCAAGCTACCGGACAGCAGTACAGACCACAACCTCTATTAATTTATCCCAGGAACTTTGTAAATCATTTAGTACAGTGCAACTCCATTGCCTGGGTAGGAAAGCCCTCATGAATAATTCAGTTTTGCATAGTTTGCAGAAAGAGTGAAAGAGCCTTTCCCTGGCCTCTTAAGGCAGACCATTCCACTGTGTCCAGATGACTTTAACATAGTGTATAATTTCATAGTCAACATTCTACTTATTCCAATGGGATACAAGTTAGGACTTATGTGTTCAACTGCCCCACACTACAGTGTTTGGTAAAGTACATGCCAAAGGACCAGACACAACTGAACTCGCTAAGTCAAACAGACTCATACAATCATTCAGACATTATACAGCAAACTGGTCTTTTATGCTGGAGACACTCCACATGTTAGGTATGTGTACATTTGGCCTTTTTACCAGTAGGCCAGTGGACTAGTCTTAAGTTAGCCCAAGGGAGTGGTTTCTGCACCTCTTCCTGGAAGCTGTTAAACTGCTCCACACTACAGTGTTTGGTAAAGTACATCCCAAAGGACCAGACACAACTGGACTCGCTAAGTCAAACAGACTCATACAAGCATTCAGACATTATACAGCAAACTGGACTTTTATGCTGGAGACACTCCACATGTTAGGTGCAGGAGAAAGTTTTATCACTATGATTCAAGCAATATATAGTGAACAAAAAGCAAAAGTGATAGTCAATGGAGAGCTTTCAAATAATTTTGAGATTCAGAAAGGTACGAGGCAAGGTTGTCCCTTATCCCCACTTTTGTTTATTATGGTATTCGAAGTTATGAATGAAGCCATTAGAAGGGAGAGTAAAATAACCAGACTTCAAGTAAAGAAAGAACACTTTAAAATACTAGCTTTTGCAGATGATGTGGCATTAATATTTGAAAACCCAATGGAAGCAGCAGGAGCACTGATGGATAAGATTGAGGAGTATGGAGAAGTGGCGGGCTTCAAAATAAATGTAGAAAAAACTAAAATTATAACTAAGAACTTGGAAGATAAACAAAAAGAGAAGTTACAAGAAATCACCAGATGTCAGATTGTAAAAAAACCTAAATATCTAGGAATTATGGTTACAAAGAAATGTAGTACACTCTATGAAGACAACTATAAAGCTCTTGTATTTCTTATATGGGGGATTAAAGAAACCAGGAACCACTAGCTTGTCACAACAGGCAATGTGATATCATATGTTAGTTCATCCTGTGTTGCAGATATGAGAATCATTTGGACCTCTGCATCTCCTTTGCTGAGACACAGATTTTAAGGCTCAGAGGCATGCAACCAAGAGTTTATTTAAGGGCACTGGTCTTCCCAAAGGTGTGATCTGCGTGACCCATTCTGATATTTTGTCCAGGCTCCAAAAACCTGGGAAATTAGTCCCATGAGACAGGCCGGAAAGAGCGTCAAATTAAGTTTTTCTTCAACAGTAATGAGAGTTTTAAAAGCAGGTGGGTAGCCATGTTGACCTGAAGCAGCAGAACAAAATTTTAGTCCAGAGGCACCTTTAAGACCAACAAAGTTTTATTTAAGGTATAAGCTTTTGTGTGCAAAGCACACGTCTTCAGATACAGTTTTAAAAGCAGTTTGTGATTACGGCATGAGGATCAGTCATACAAAGAAAAAAATTCCAATGGGTGCAAACTCTTTATCTTAGTCTAAGGACCTCTTGGGATCCTGTTTATGAAGAAGACAGAGAGATTAACAATTCTTGCAGCTACCATACCTGCTAAAATGCCATGACTAAATCTGTTCCAAGTCAAGAACGCATATGACAGCAAAAAAATAAAAATAAATTTCATTCCCCCCAAAGTAGCCTTTGGTACACACCAACTCAGACAAACCAACCGTGGTATGGTTTTCCCGTGCCACAAATGTAACACCTGTCACAAGGAATCACACAGAAGCTAAACCAGGTTAAAAAACCTGGGGAAGGAGAAAATGCAACCTGATGTATCAGTCTCCTAGACAAACTGAAACAGTTTATGATTAAAACAGTCCATGGGAAGGAAAAAGTGAATATAGGGAAATGAAGTGATTTGCTATTTCCAAAATAACACATATGATAATGCACACAGTCAACCTGGTGACTCACTAAGGGCCTGTGACCAACTTTTCCAGGGAGCAAATTCCAAAGCAGTTATATTTCACACTCCCCATCAAACAATGTTCTTTTCTACCTTGGGGATAAAAAAGGAGTCTTTCAGAATGGTTCATGAGTTGGATCAGGAGTCTCTATAACTGGGTGTCCTCAACTGGATAGAACCTTAATCCCATGGGGAAAGTGAGAATGTTTGGTTAAGAGAATGGAGATTGGTTCCAATTCATGATATATTCTTGAGAATGAAGGCTGGAAATGGCTTGTCAACTGGGAAGTCTTTGGATCGCTTGTCTGGCAGTGAGGATTATTTGTCCTACCATGGTGGGACTGTTGAATCGTCTCTTCTATAGCAGCAAGTTCTGAGATAAAATACTACTTTTGGATTACATTGCACAGAACTAGCTATTTAGATAGCGAGAATATTTGGACTGGCCCCTTATATTCCTTGTTACTTTGATTGTGCATCTGATTGCCTATATATGTATGTAAACAGGGCTATTTTGGGGCAGGAACACACAGAAACGGAGTTCCGTCTGGCTCCTGAGTTGGCCACGCCCAGCAGGAACTCATTAGCATAATAGGCCACACCCAACAGCAGAAACTCATTAGGATTGGCTACATTACGGGTGTGTGGCCTAACATGCAAAGGAGTTCCTGCTGCAAAAAAAGCCCTGGGTTTTGACAACAAACAAGGTAAACAGAATAAGAAGGGAAAGGTGGGTGTGGCTGGATGACCACACTTCTGGTAACATGGGGGTGTGGCCTAATGTGCTAATGAGCGGTGCTGTCAGGGGTGTGGCCTAATATGCTAATGCATTTTGCTGTTGGGTGTGACCTGTTATGCTAATGAGTTCCTGCTGGGCTTTTTCTACAAAAAGAGCCCTGTGTAAATACCTATAATATGATTATACTTATTTAATACATTACACACAATATTTTTATTATGCATTATTTGCATATACTGTATGTTTATACATGGCGCTTTCTGTTGTTTCTGAACTGGATTAGCCCAGGCTAGTCCGATCTCGTCAGATCTCAGAAGGTCCTCGCTAGTATTTGGATGGAAGGCCACCAAGGAACACCAGGGGTGTGGTGCAGAGTCGGGCAATGGCAAGCCACCTCTGAACGACTCTCAGCTGTGACTTGACAGCACTTTCCACCACACCACCAACTTTGTGGAGACTGTGGGCATTTTTTGGACTGTGAGAACAGGTAGGGTGAGCCACTGTAAAAATGGCTGCCACGGTGGAGTGGAAATGTCACCAACTACAAAATAGTTGCCATGGGGTCGGGGAGCTAAGACCAGTTGCAAAACATTGGTGAGTTCCGGCACGAGAGTCCTTCTGTAACAAAGGCGCCTATTTCTGAAACGGTGATCTCTACAGGGACAAAGGTATTGCCACCGGGACTTTTCTAAAGCAAGTCACGTTCCAAATCGGATCGAGCAGGGGTGTCGAACTCATTTGTTATGAGGGCCGGATCTGACACAAATGAGCCCTTGTTGGGCCGGGGCCGTGTGTGTCATAAAATGTAATGCCAGGTAGCGGAGATAGAAACTTTATAAAGGACACAAACACAAAGGTGGTTTTTTAAACTTAAAAGCATGCTTAAAACGTCAGCACTCTCTGCAATATTTTGTTTATTGAACAGTGTCTGATCACTGGCACCTCTTGCTCTGAATTACTGCATCAAAATGTTTGTGCTGTTGCGATCTTGAGTATGCTGTTCAGGTGTGTATCTGTAAGTTGCAAACCTATGATGACACGGCAGCGGCAGAACTGGAAGAAGCAGCAGAAGACAGCCAATTCTGCTGTGGGCCTGATAGAAGCCCTCCGGGGGCCTGATCCGGCCCCCGGGCCACATGTCTGACACCCCTGAGATAGAGGGAAGTCAGGACTAATTCTTCGTTCTGGGGAGGACAGAAGTGTTCACCAGGAAGCACATTGGCTGGAGGAGCCATGTTGGATATTACTGAGTTAGATATTATGTATCATGTACAGAGAGACCACTGCTTTCATCAGTGGTTTTCTACTTTTTTTGGCCTTCATTTAACACTTTCCACACTGGCATCTTGTTGAGGAACCTTTGTGAGTCTGCCACAGGACTCTTGCTCAGTTCAAAGATTCTAGGGCATGTTCTAGGGCACACATTAGGGAAGAAGAAGAAGAAGAGAGAGAAGAGATTGGATTTATCCGCCCTTCACTTGGAGTCTCAGAGCGGCTTACAAACTCCTTTCCCTTCCCCTCCCCACAACAGGTACCCCACAACAGAAGCCCCAAGACACTTCTCAGAAGCCCCAAGACACCCTTGAATGCAGTTTGAAAACTACTAATTATCTGTTACCAAGTTATTTCTGTATTAAGCATTAACTTTAATATGTGGCCACAGAAATCTAAGAACATGAGAAGAGCCATGCTTGATCCGATCATGGTCCATATAGTCTACCATTCCATTTCACACAGTTGCCAATCACCTACCCATCAGGGACAACAAATGGAGAGGAGAGGAGAAGGAGGAGGAGAGGAGAAGGAGAAGATTGGATTTATACCCCACCCCTTCGCTATTTGAAGGAGTCTCAGAGC